AAGTCAAACTGAGAAGAAAGTTTTAGGACGGAGGGAGTAAAACTTTTAATACATACTTTAAATACGAACTTTTTTTTATTTATATATCAATTTTTAAATAAAATAAATTTTAAAAATTTATGATTTTGTCTCGTTTTGGTTTCTCAGTAATTAAGTCATTTTGGGAGGAAAAAAGTAATAGACGGCCCCCAATGGAGAAGTGTATATAGAAATCCGTTTAGATAGGACTATAATATAGTAAAAAGTACTAAAAAAGAGTTCCATGTTTTATTCTCAAAATAGGACGTTGCACTGTGGTAATGTGGTTGTAATGTGACATTGTACATGTGCACATTATTATACTTTTTGGTAATGTACATGACTATGTTTGGTAATGTAAATGCATTTTAACTCATATTTCAAGAATAAAAACATGAAAATCATATTTTAGTATATTTTCGATATTTTACTCCTACTTTAGTTCTAAACTTTCTTTATCTTTTAAATTAGATGAAACGATATTAACAATAATCGCTACATTACATATCAGTATTAACGAAACCGTATCATTTTTTATGGGAGAAAATAATACAGAGTTGGACACATTAAAAAAAGAACAAGTGCGCATTATATGTATGGTGTAAGAATGGAGAGGGAGGAGAGGGAATGGAGGCGCAAGCAAGGCGACAATGAGTCAAATTGAATTTGGTTCCCAAATATGTGCCGTACGTCTTATATAATCCGATTCGGAGTACTATAAATCGGCGAGATTGCTTTTGACCACAATATCACACCACTCGTACCTAGTCAACTCTTTTGTTTTTTCTTTAACATCAAACGTAAAGTGGGCAAGCTAACTCTCTCTCACAAAATGGTTGCTATATTAAGGAAAATGAAGTAAAAAAACCAAGTTTTTTAAATTTATTTTATTTCAAAGTTAATATATAAATAAATAAATAAATAAAATCCATATATTTAAAAATAGGACAAATATTTTTCAAAATAAGTTAGGACAAAAAGATTTTATTTTATCAAATAATCGATGAAAATACACAAATAAACTAAAATTTAATGATTTTTTTAAAAATGGACTGTGAATCCTTTTTAGGACGGACAAAGTAATATAATTCCGAACAAGCAAATTAAAATTCAGCAAATGATTACTGAATTTTGTAACGTATAATTAGAAAATAGAAAGTATGAACTCGATCAATTTAGTCAATTATCTAGGAAGAGATATAATGATTTTTAATTTAAACTATTTGTAAACCAATTCAAAAAATAAATACCAAATATTTATACTGCTCATCGTTTTTGTAATTCACATACACATGTAGAAAAAAGTGTACCATGTATTCCTAAACTCTCTGTAAATTACATGATTTAACATTGGACGACATTAAAAACTGCACCGTTTACCATTGAACTATTTGAAAATTGTACGATTTACCCCTGAACATGCATTAAAAAAATACACCAAATACCCCTGAACGATTTAAAACGTTACACCGTTGGTCGTAAAGTGCTAGACAGGGAGCGCACTGCTCCCACACACAAGAAATTGCGAGTATGATTCATCATCTGACCCTCCTGAAGTCTCTAAAGTATTTACCCTTCCCCAAAATTATCATCTTTATTTAAATGTTTAGGAATCAACCGTGCAATTTTTGAAAAGGTCAGAAGTATTTAAAACACTTTTTAATGTTCAAGAGTAAACTTTGCAATTTTTGAAAAATTCAAAGGTATTTGCCTATTTGGTGTACTATGTTCACGGATAAACTGTGCAAATTTTGAAGAATTCAGGGGCAAACAGTAAACTTTTCTCCAACCCATATATAGAAGAGATAATGTGCAACACAATTAATTTTTTTTATATGTGAAATATACAAAATTGATCAACATTTTTAATTTTTATGTACCAATGTACGTACATGCATTATTATTAATTACTCCGGAGATAGAATAGAGAAGCAGCAAGACGTGCGGTAGCGATTCTCCCCATGCATTTGATGCTCCATGTGCCATCACTATATATATTTTTTTCCCCTAATCAATTGAACTACCGATGAGTATGGGATTCGATCGACAACCTAAGAGAAAAAAATCAGTGAGATTTGAGTCTTTTTCCAAGTTACCTGATTAATCATTAATTATAGATTTTTTCGATGACGTTTTATTTGTGTATGTATTTTTACTTATTATTTGATAAAATAAGAAAATACTTTTAGTGTACATCTAGATTTATGATGTTTTTCAGTACATATCCTGATTAATATTTATTTTTGAGTAACAAAATACTTATATTGAAATAATGAATACTGATTTTCAAGCATAATTGATTTTTAAAAAATACGGAGTAAGTTTTTAGTTATTCAAAAAAAAGGGTAGTATTCAATTACTCAAAAATAAATTAAGTATATTCAGTTAGTCGTAAATTTAAGTACTATTCAACTGTGAATGTATGAGAAATACCATACAATCGGTTGTACTAATATATCGTAATCAGGAAAGTTTGTGATATACTTTCTTCGTTCCATAAAGATGTTCAGAGCCAAATGTGAAAACCTTAGCTCTGAATATCACAAACATAAACAATATTAAAAATTCAAATTTATGTAGGGAAAGACATGGGTGCTAAATTGGGTAAGGGGACTATCTATATATCTAGTATAGGGGATGGTGGATGGCTTAATAATAAGAGTTTAGGGCCATTCCTTTTTGCTATTGCAAGCTAGCAATTCAAGTAGCAAACACTGCACGTACATAAATATATACACACCCCCATCAATTAACCGCATAGCTAGCTAGCCAGGCAGGCCGGCCGGCAAGATATGGGTCGTCCTCGTCTTCCCATATTACTTTGCATGCATTATTCGTGTTCGTTACCCACCATTTCTGCCATCGCCAACCTTATTTCTTTTATTTATTTAAGGTTAATTAGAATGAATGTGTGTGTGCGCGCGCGTGTGTGCATAATTATGGTGAAAATTAAATGAGATCTTACAAAAGAAATAATAATACTTGTAATGCTTTAGAATTTGAGATATAAGATTATAAAAATTTGAAAAATAATGAAAAATTAGAAACATCCTCGTGACATTTTTGAAAATAAATTGAACTTTGTAAAATGTACTACCTAATTTGTAAAATGCACTATGATGAACTACCTGCTCTATAAAATGCATCATGCCGAACAAAACAATATGGAGTATCATTCTTATTTCTTTCACCAAAGTTCATTCTTAGGGCCGGGAACCGGGCTCCTATATCAAATAGGGATGTAAACGGATATTAATCGGACCGGATATGTCATTACCAAATCCGTATCCGTTTATTTGAGTCGGATACCGGATTCGGATACGGATCTTGATGGATACTGGAAATCAAAACTGTATCCGCATCCTTCGGATATCGGATATATCCGTATCCGTTTCCAATTTTTAGAATAAAATTAAATAATACTTTAATTTTAAATTAGATTAAAGTCAAACTATTTTTAAATCAACTATAATTTGTTATGGGATAATTATTTTCTTTGTTTTTATGATTTATGATATTCTACGATAACTTCATATGATAAAAAGATATACACAGCACACATATACATCTATTTTTTTATGTGTGCACATATTTTTATGTGTCTACACATTTATTTTGTATATAAAATGTTTTATACTTTTAAATATCAATAAAGAAACAAAATATAAACATAAAAAATTAGAAAAAACTATATATAACGGAGCGGATATTCGTATAAATGGTTATTTAAATGGATGCATATATTCAGATCGGATTTTAAACGGATCGGATATACAATTACCAAATCCATATCCGTTTAGTAATCGGATATTTTTAATCGGATACGGATAATATCCGTTTAAAACGGATGCGGATATTTCCTCTTTAAATAGATACAGATGCAGACGGTAATTGGATTTTCGACTATCCCTTGACAGTCCTAATATCAAAGGTGGGTTCACTAAACAAATTTTTTATAAAATAATAACCGCAAACAGATAAAAAGATTAGCTAAAAAAATCCATACACTAATTTCTAACCACTCTAACAACTACTTGGCTAACAATTTGTTTTTAAATTAATCACAAACACGTGACACAAACATCTATTTGAACCAGTGATAAAAAAATCTCCTCAAAAACCCATACCCTAATTTGTAACCGATCAAACAAGTAACAATAATTTGTGCCAAAAACAAGATAAATATGAATTGCTTGTCTGGTACAGTGCATTAAATGTTTCATCACAATAATAAAACTGTCCATGCATCCCCCATCTATGATTAGTTTGTCGTATATACACACATATAATGCCCTAAAGACCGAACCAGTCCAAACTCAGCCCACACTTCATGTTTTGGATTTTCGGATCGTCCAAAGAAACATGAAGACCACCACCACATTTGGCATGCACGTCTCCATCTCTACCGCTAGGATCATATATATATATTAATTACCACCATGGCCTCATCATTCTTCAAATTAATTGATCATCACCCCCCTTCATTTGAAAACGACACCGTTTAAGAATAATAATAATAATAATAATGAGTATATTATTGGAACTCTTCCAAATACATAAAAAGGATGTTGCGTCTTGATTTGATCTGTTCTGAGCGTAATTATATTACAAGGTGTTTCTGATCTGGTCTGACCTGATCTTATTTCAAGAAGAAAAAACAATAAGTAATAAGAATAAGTTGAATAGAACATGGTCTGAAGCTAGATAACTTACCCAACGAAGTATCGTCGGGTCTCGATATCATATTACTTCCTTTGTCTCACAAAATTCCTTACATTTTATTTTTTTGGACGTTCAAAAAATATTGTTCTTACTTTATATCATATTTCATATGTTGATACTGAATATGTGTTACTAAAAACTTTTCTCTATACTAACCAAATTTCAATCATACATTTTTTAATCTTTAACAACATTCTTAAATCTTGTGAAGTCAAAATATCAGAAATCTATGAAATTTATGTGGACTTGAAAACCCAGAAGTTCATTTAGCTTTGGGGAAACAAACGCGAGCCCACCCCATATTACGGCCCAATGGTTCTTCTAGATTTTGAAGGTGCCGTAGCCCAACGAGCGCTGACCCAGTTTTTGATTGTTCATCGTCCCCAACGCAACTTCATAGAGCAGAGCTTGCTGAGCATATCGCCATTTCAGACCGAGATTGGATATGGCTTCTGCTCCTCTCCAAGATGAACAAAATCTCCTTCAAGGTGCGTCCTGATTTTCTTGCTTGTGTAAATTTACTGAATTTCGTCCTGAAATTGGAGTTCTACTGCGCTTATGTTTCACATTTGATGGCTGTTAATCATGTTATTGAACTCCAGAATCGAAAAAATCTGAAAGTGACCTCTTTAGTATGCGTATTAGTGATTTGTATCGTCTTGAGAAGTTGCTAGAATTTGCCATTGCAGTTCCAGTAGTGTAATATTTTTTTAGCAACTAGAGTCATTACATTCCAGGTTTTTATTGATAAGCCGTGATTTTCTGTGTTCTTAGGATCTCCGAAGAGAGTTGCCGTGGTTGGTGCTGGCGTCAGGTATCAGATGCTGAATTCCAGCAATTTGATGTTGTTGACTTTTTCTTGTTTAACACGCGATACATAATTTTGAAGCTATGAATACATTTTTAATGCATGTGCTGAGTTTAGATCACTTTGCGCCGTGGATTGTGATCATGATGTGATGTTGATAGACTACTTTCTTAACAATAAATAGAGTGAGCTTGGACATTTTTCATGCTTTGTTTTTTTCTTCATCCTAACTTTGAGTCGATGAAAGAAAATTCATTGCTATCTATTGATTTTATTCTGTTATGGAGATTGGACATTTGATCATGGATATGTGCGAATCCACTTGCAGAATATAGGATTAGTAACAAATTGTTGTTTTCAGTACCCATGACATCATACCTAAATGCAACATTGGCGTGGATGGAATTACGGAATTTATTATGTAGTTAATGTGATTGTATGCCCTTTTGGTACTTTGGTTTTATTCTTTGTGAGGTAGAGAAAGAGTGGTGATTTTTTTATTAAAGTTGAGATACGAATTGTTTTGAATGGAAGCATTGTCCACTAGATGGGTAGGATGTTTTTTTGGATGATAATACACCTGTCCTTAGTCGAGGGGCAAATTACATTGGATTAGATCATTGACCTTTAAACTGGTTGGAGTGTTGGCTAAATCAGTTAGGACTTAGGAAGAGTGATATGACACTACTAATAACAATTATGAAGTGGGGAGCTGAATAGGTAGATTGAAATCCAGTTGGATACTTGGAATAAAGTTATTAAGAGAGATATTTTTACTCATCTGCTTATAATGGAGCTGAACGGATGGTTTTGTTCATGTATCTTATCCCATCTGGACTGGGCTTAATTCTTTTGTAGGATTGACTACACAAGATCCTATTACTTGATTCTTTCCTTCATTATGTTGTCTGACATTACATTATTTTCAAGTGGCCTTGCTGCAGCGTTCAAGTTAAAAAACAGTGGTTTGAATGTAACAGTATTTGAAACTGATGGGAGAGCGGGAGGGAAGCTGAGAAGTGTTTGCCAAGATGGCCTAATATGGGACGAAGGAGCTAATACTATGGTATGTTAATTCATAATTGTTAAATTGTCTCATCCAATCTTGAACGAGTACTGGAGTTTATTGTATTTGATTCGGTGCAGACAGAAAGCGAACCAGATGTCCAATCGTTACTGGATGCTCTTGGACTTAGAGAGAAACAACAATTTGTAACAATTCCCGCTTTTACTTCCTTTCACAGTTTGCTATCATCTTTTCTAGGAAAGAGGTTGATTTTCATTTATCCTTTCTGGTTTAAGATGTACTGCTGTTTTACTCTTGTTAAGCAAACGGTTTGGGTTCTGATTTATATTTCAAACATTTTGATATAACAACTTTGTGGATTAGTTTTATATGTCGTTTGTACTCAGTGACTGCGAATTGTTTTCCATGGTTTTATAATTGCAGCCGATTTCACAAAACAAGCGGTATATAGTCCGGAATGGAACTCCTGCATTGGTACGACTGGCCTGTGACACATTTTTTAATCAACTTATTACTTCGTGGTTTTGTATTTTGTTATTCGTTCTCTGTTGATTTCATAAGGATATTGTTTTGTTATACTCTTTTATGTTTCAGTTACCATTAAATCCTATCCAGATGATATCAAGCAACTTTCTTTCTGTGGGGTCCAAGGTATGACATTATATCCCGAATATTGAGTTGTCAATTTGTCATTTGCTTTTATTATGCTATTCTAATATAGTCAGTAGGGGTTTGGTTCCTTTTAAGGCCCATGGATGCCATTTAATATCATATTGTCATCTATCATGGTTGAATGTGATTTAAGCATACAACCATCTCACAATTACTTAAAGTTCACTTCCACTTTTAGATGTTTTTCTTAGGCTATTTTCTATCATCCTGCAGCTTCAGATACTCATGGAGCCTTTTTTATGGATGAATAAGAAGCTCCCAAAAGAGTCTGATACAAATGAAAGGTTGTAAAAATTCCTTCATATTCAGTGATCAGTCCTGAAGCGAAAGGGAAGGAGGATAGAAGATTCTACTGTTAGTTATGCAATAAAAAGAAAATGCTGCAAAATTTCTATAATTGATGCTCATTACGGTCATGTTCCATAATTTTCATGTTGATTTCACAATATCAATATTGTAAAGGGACGTGACTATAACAACTACTTTATCAAATTCATTGCAGAGTCATGATATCTTAGATGCTAGTGGAAATAAAAGATGGTTTTATTTTTTTTTTCTTCTTATTTTTCCTTTTAAAAAAAGATTTCAAGAGAAAGTGCATTTAGGGATAAACATTGCCACATTTTTTTGCATGAACTTGTAGTGTCAAACAATTTTCAACAATTAACGAACATTGTAAATTTCATGCCACCTACCCCAACTAGGTGAAAATGTGAAATTAAGGTTCCAATGATGATGAAGAATTTGCAGTTCAAACAACATGCAACAAACCCAGTAGAATCCCACAGTGAAGAGTTTGCAGTTTGTTGGTGAAATATAAATTTTTAACTCTATAACTTTTTTGACTAACTGAACCATTAATCTAGCTCTTCAAGATAATCAAGTTGAAGTATCTTACTATTTTACCTCATTATTCAGTGTTGGGCACTTTTTTCAGCGTCATTTTGGGAATGAGGTATCACACTGTCTTTTGATTCTGAAATAAAAGTGAACATCTATATATCTGAGTTTGAAATTGCACATTCAAAACAATTTAAAAAATTCACCGCTGGCCCTTGGGCTGCTTAATCTGCAAGGTTGTGGAGTATCTCATTGATCCCTTTGTCGCGGGCACCACTGGAGGAGATCCCAAATCACTTTCAGTGAGTATTCATTTATGCAACTTATTTTTGTTGGACATTCACTAACTTTTTTCAATTGAGATTAACATGTTAATGTTAATAAATACCGGAGTACAACTCAAGAAGGCAGAAGCCCTTCGATGTAACCATTTACTAATTTTTACCACGGGGATACAATTCTGGTGTGTAATGTCACATTAAGGATATTAGGAAAGGGTGTATTTCATTTAAATGACAGTTCAATGTTCACTTTTGGTATTAAACATCATTCATGACATATTCACGTCTTCACGATTTATTTCCTATCATCAAATAGATGACCCATGCATTTCCAGAACTGTGGGATCTAGAGAAAAGGTATGTTTGGATCATTCATGAACTGTGTGCTACACAACTATTATATAAGTTTCCATTTCATGGCTGTTTGAAAGCTGTGGTCATTAGGTTTGGATCAGTCATATTTGGGGCAATTCAATCTAAGATATCATCCAACAAGAAGAATCAAGGGCCAATTGGTGCTTCAAAGATTAAGCATCAGCGTGGATCCTTTTCTTTTATAGGTGGAATGCAGGTACATTTTATTAACTTTTAACCCATGCATTGAGAGCCAAGGCAAAATTTTGAAATATCAACCTTCTTTCTTTTCTATTCTCTATCATCTAAATAATACGAAGTATCACTTTAGGGATTTCTACAGTACTACTTCATATAACTGTAGTTTTTGTTATTTGGCTGAGAGACTGCTGAATTCTATAGGAATTTTTTTAGTTACATTGATTCAGCTAAATAAGCAGGTCAAGAGATACGTTCTCTTTTTATTCTACTTATTCCAAGCAGAAGAAGCCGATTATATCTTAAATCTTATAAAACGAAGCACAATGCATGTCATATTATCATCATGGAAAACCTTTGAGAAAAACCGACCTTTGAGAAAAATCAAATATGACCTTACTATTAGATGTCAGTATGTGCCGCAGACCTACACTAGTTTTTGAGTTTAATATCTTCGACTACTATCCGTCCTGCTTTTGTTTTCTGACCCCAATGTTTTGTAGACACTTACAGATGCACTGTGCAAAGAGCTTGGCGAAGATGAACTTAAACTTTCTTCAAAGGTTCTAGAATTATCTTCTTGCCACAAAGAAAACTGTCTGGGTAGCTGGTTAGTTTCTTATGCTTCACCTCACAGAAAACACTCAGTAAAGGAATCGTTCGATGCTGTTGTGATGACGGTGAGTGTCAAATTTTCATGCTTACAAATTTTCCTTGGGAGTTTTTCAAATGCTAGAAATTCAAGTGCTCACAATCTCTCTGTTTTTGTTCAAAACATGCATGTACTGATGTACATACCAAGTTCATTTCAATTCAAAAAAGTGGTTGATAGGATGTAAAGCTTCATGTATATACACACTACGCAGGCTCCTCTCTCTGATGTCAAAACCATGAATTTCACTAAGAAGGGAGCTCCATTTTTGCTCAACTTTCTCCCTGAGGTATGGAAGTGAACTCGACTAATTCTTTTAGGTACAAAGAGATAGTGGTCGTAAAGTTTTCTAATAATTTATGTTGTTATTTTATAGATGTAAAATAATTTCCATTATCATGTCAGATAGTCAATGTTGCGACTAACATTGTTCCGCAGGTTGATTATGTTCCTCTATCTATCATGATCACCACATTCAAAAGAGAGAATGTAAAGCGACCCCTCGAGGGGTTTGGAGTGCTTGTACCATCTAAAGAGGAACAAAATGGTTTGAAGACAATAGGTAATAAAACAGCCAGGTTACTTGAATTGATTCCTTTGTCTGTCAATCCCCTGTCATGATGAGATTTCATTGCGTGATATGGTGTATAATTAATACGGAGTACTTCGTAGCTATTTTCCTCTTTATAGAGATGTCTTGAGATGTCTGAAGTTATATCTCATGTACTCCGTACTAATTTATAACTTTGTATCTTCAATTTTGAAAATGTTTGAGCTAACAGCCTAACACACTATTCTTATAATTAAAAATAGCCACCATCCCTGGCCACTTTCCATCCAAAACCCCATTCCCAAACAATAACATAATGCTTGTTTACCATTATCCTGATTTACTATCTTATATGCACTTATGCAGGCACTCTATTCTCTTCCATGATGTTTCCAGATCGAGCACCAAAGAATGTTTATCTTTACACTACTTTTATTGGAGGAAGTCGAAATAGGGAACTTGCAAAAGCTTCAAGGTTTACTTATATGCATTTGACTTGGGAGTTGCAAAACAATCCATTTGCTCATAGTCTATCCAGGAACATTAACACTATGTTTGGTTCAAAGAATTTGAAAGGGAAAATAAAAGAAAATGAGATGGAAAACAGTTTTTCTTGTTTGGCTAGAGAGGAAAAGAAAAGAAAAGTGGAACGAAAAGAAAATGAGAAGGCAAAATGTACTAAGAGGAGGGAAAACCAAATTCCTCTCATTTTGATGACGAAATTGAGAGAAACCCAATTTCTTTTCTTTTCCTTCCAAATTCCTTGAACCAAACATAGTGTAATGGCAATGGATTGTTTGGATCTAATCTGTGCTTTGAATTATCTGGATGGTTAGTTATCCATCCATTATTATTTTTGATATCTTGGATCATTTTTTAAAAATATTCTAATTCCATGGGAAAAAATGTTTAATGTGTCATGTATGGGATGGCTTTTTAAATGGATCAAGTATTTTATAAGATTTTTTTAATGGATGAAGTGGATCATAAGTTAATGGATTAATGTAATCAGAATGAGAATTTATCCATTCGAAATTTTCACATTGTTTTTTGAAATGAGCATATTATCGCAGGGATGAACTGAAGGAGATTGTATCTTCTGACCTTAAGCAGTTGCTGGGTACCAAAGGAGAGCCAATGTTTGTCAAGTATGTAAATTATGATGAATGGAACAAAAGGGTGTAAAATTCTGCTTTAGTATTGATGGATGATATGCTTTTCATTATTGTAGCCATGTCTTCTGGAGTAAGGCATTTCCTTTGTATGACCGTAACTACGGGTCAGTCCTGGAAGCGGTTGACAAGATGGAGAAGAACCTCCCTGGATTTTTCTATGCAGGTAACACATTTCTACCAGCTACGTGGGCTACCTCTTCTTTTAACTAGACTAGACAGGCATTAAGGAATTAGCTCACATTTGGGCTAAAACTTCTACAACAACAACAGACCAGTAAATCCCAGAGAGTGTGGGGATATGGGGAGGGTGTGTGTACACAGGCCTTACCCCTACTCAGAAACACTGATATATCAGCTTGGCCTGCATGCAAGTAACTGGGCAAATTATACCTTACATCCGAATGTATCTACTCTTATGTACATCGGAATGAGTATTATATAACTCGTAAATGTGCATACACTAAGTTTATAATGTGCACGCTCTTAGTACTTATAAAAACATAAACCTGCAATTTCATTGTTAAAATATCATTTTTATTCTCTCATTGATTGGAAGTATTATTAACAACGAAATGAACATGATGCATCCATTGAATGTGTATGTGTCAATTTCATAATGTGTATGTTCCAAGTATGTGCAAGGAAATAATTGTGCGAAATGAGAATTCTTTAACTTGTAAGTGAACATATGCCGGATCTACAATAAGCACCATATATCCGAACGTATAATATAGGAAATCAAGTATTTGATCCAAGCTCAACCTTTTCTATTTATCAGGTAACCATAAGGGGGGACTGTCTGTGGGCAAAGCAATATCATCTGGTTGCAGTGCAGCTGATCATGTCATCTCATATTTGGAATCTTCTTCAGTTGAGCCTCAGAAATTGCCTTTGCCTTGATTAAGGTTCTTCTTTCATGTCCCTTCTATCAACATTTTTGAGATCCAAACACGCCCTAAAAGCATGATAGTAGAAATTTGGGTTTCATTTCCCCATGTTGTATCCTTCTGATTTATTATTATTATTATTATTATTATTATTATTATTATTATTATTATTATTATTATTATTATTATTATTATTATTATTATTATTATTATTATTATTATTATTATTATTATTATTATTATTATTATTATTATTATTATTATTATTATTATTATTATTATTATTGCTACTTCCCATGTCTCATCATTTAATTCATACCATTCTATTTGGGTTGTTCCAAAAATTTGCATTCGATTTGACTATATATGCTGCTTAATTGAGCCTGCACATGTGGTACGAAGTACCGAGTAATATACATTTTGGTTCTCATGACATTAAACTACGAAGATCCTACCGCCCAAACCCCTCTCCGTTGCCGATTGAAGGAAGTGAGGGAGAAGTGAAATGGAGGGTATTAATCATTAATTTTATGAATCGGACATTAAATTTCAATATTAATTTATGAGAATTGGAGAGTTGTTTGTTCGGATTTAATCGTTAACTTTAAAAAAATCATTTTAATGACAAGTAAATCCTTCAATTTCATCTTAATGATGAACGAGTGTTATGCCTTCTTGAAATTCCATTCATTCTTCTAATAATCTCCTATTTTTTTTAAAGTCTAAGTATTTTCTACTATTAAAGAAATCACAATTTTACCGACAATATGGAAAATGGATAACGTTAAACGTCCTCCTCATTTAAGACATGACCACCGACACATAATACATGGCGGGATATCGCTATATTTGTTGACTTCTTTATCCATTTGGTGTTTTTCTTTTAACACACTGGTGTTTTTTTTAAATAGTTAGAAATACATTAAATTTGTATTCCTATTGGAATTACCAATATCCTGTTTTTTGGGTAAAAATTTCAAAGTTGAAAGTGAGAAGAAACTGAAAAGGAGATGGGAAAAAATGGAATGAGTTAGAAAATGATTAAAAAGTCACTCAGTTGAGTGATCACTCAAATAATTGTAAGAAAATTCTCATTTTGGATAAAAAAAATTTATCCTTGTCCGTATTTTAGGTGGTATGTTATAAATTTAGATATATAATGTTATCTTATATTAATCATATAAATACCTTTCTAAGTCGTTGTTGGAAGAAATTAGAAGTTAATTTTTTCAATCCAAAAGAATAGGGCCTAAGTGTTTTATAGACATACACTATCACACAAATAATAACTATTTGTATGTGTCTATGATACACTTGGTGATAAGTTGGAATACAAACTTAGCACACCTCTTTTTTTTTCTTTAATAAAAATCCATTTTTGTCATAACATATCGAGTAGGAGTAAACAAAAATGTTTGTCAATTGTCACACACATATCGCTTCTTTTTTGGATCTATAATTTGCATATGTTTGTGAGAGAAGTCACACAAAACGTATAGATATCACCCAAACAACAAATTAAATGTGCATAAAAACAAAACAAAAAAAAATCTATATAATGTACTAACATGGGCAATACTCGTTGGTAATACATACTCCGTATCTACCATGCCCTTTTGTCCATTTTAGATTTTTCTTTTTTTGATTTAAAGAGTATTTTAATAAAATATCTCATTCATTTTAATTTTATCCTTTGTCCAAAAGTATACTCTCTACTTTTTATTTTAATTTAAGTTGTCTGTCTTTTTACCCCAATTTACCTAAAGAAAAATACTAATAATAGTTTGGCCAGTGAACTTAATCCTATCACTCTAGAGATATGAAAAGGCTCAATAATAATAATAATAAAATCCAAATAAAAAACAACTTTTTAGAAAAAGACTGAAGATGAGTACTCAAGAAAAGAAAGGGAAGATTAAATAAGAAATTTCTTTAAATCCCTTCCAAGGTTATGTTGGGAACCGTGTGCGTTGGGTTTATCCCACATCGAAAAAATCTAACAAATAACTCTCAATATAAAGAAAAATAAAACTCTACCTATTAGTTTAAGTTTTTAAATACAAAATGGATCCAAATTTCATATAATAAATGATCAAATCTCACCCAATACTTCACTCGGTCCATCGAAATTCTAACATGTTAAGTTCCAATGAACTGAAAAAAGGGGCAAATGCCAACTCGCCCACCGACTCCAAAACAAAAACCCAAAAAAGGTGACGAGAATGAATGAGTAGCTATTTCTCTCACTCCACTCCCAAATCTCCTGAAACTCGCTTCCCTTCCGCTTGTAAGTATCTTCGTATTTTACTATGCCCATTTTTCCCCTACACATTTCATGTCTTGGCATTCAGTTGCTTGTTTTTGTGCTGCATACCATTGTAATTAGCTAATTTGGACTTCTTGCTGGTTTGGGAATCCCTTTTTTTCCTACCCATTTTTGGCAATTTGTAATCCGTCGTTTTGGGTTTTTTGTTCTTCTAGTTCTTGGTTTCTGAAATTGGAAGTTTGGCTGTTCTTGGTTGCTGAAAGTGTATGGCAGATTGAGGCCAACTAGTCAAGCATTAGGTGGGGCAATTAATGCTAATTGTTGGAAATTAAAAAAAAATTAATCTGTGTGTGTGTGTGTGAGAGAGAGAGAGAGAGAGAGAGGCAGTGTTTTAATTGTTGTTTCATGTATCAATTTGCTCAGAGAGAGTGGGGAGCAGTTGCAAGCTGCAACAATGGTTTTGGGACATAGTGCCAACAAGTCGCGGGGAAGCCCATCACTCCAACTTGATTACCTAATCAACATTCTTGAAATAAAGCCTTGGCCTCCCTCTCAAGCATTAAGTTCGCTTAAATCTGTTGTCATCCAATGGGAGCACGGGGAGAAGAACTCGGGTTTGACTAGTCAAGTTGCCCCGGTTCTTGACCCTGATTCCAGCATTGGCAGTGGAAGGATAGAATTCAACGAGTCGTTTAGGGTCCCTGTCACACTAATAAAGGAGATTTCGGTTAAATCTGGTGGGAATTCGGATAATTTCCAGAAAAACTGCATTGAGTTCAATCTCTATGAGCCGCGGAGGGATCTGGCTGCAAAGGGTCAGCTGCTGGGAACTGCTGTTGTAGATTTTGCCAGCTATGGGATTGTTAAGGACAGTTTGAGTGTGAGCGTTCCGATCAGCTGCAAGAGGGCTTACAGGAACACTGTGCAGCCTCTTCTGTTCTTGAAAATCAAGACAGCTGGGAAGAAGAGTGGCGGGAAATCAGTGATGAGAAGCTGGAGGAGAGAATCGTCAATGGACAGTAGTGTTGGTGACTCTGTTTCTTCATTGATGAATGAAGAGTACGCCGAGGAAGCTGAGACAATGGCTTCGTTTACAGACGATGATGTTTCTTCGCACTCATCATCGGTTATCTCTTCGGGTGTTGAGTCAAAGTTCAGTTCATCAGCAGCTCACAAAGAGGTATGTTGATTGCTTTTTTAATGCTCTTTTTAGTTTTTATCCCTCCTCTTAGCCTGGCTCTTTGGTTTCAGTTTATACATTTCTTTAAACATGAATGATGCAAATGCGGAAGCAAAAGAACAAGAAAAGATGGGAACTTGAAAAGGTTGTGTGTGTTACTCAACCTAAGCTTCAAGAACAAGAGAAAAGATAGATAGAAGATAAATAAAAACTTTGTCGAGTTCTCTAAAGGATAATCGGCCAAGAACGTTGAAAAAGGGTCCTAGAGTTGCACCACAATCTTTCAAATGAATTAACCATCAAAGATTGATAAAGAAGTCTAATGTCTTGAAGAACTTTGGTTTTTTTAGTAAATAAAATTCATTGACTAAGTACAAAGCATAATGTTCTAAGGCTTATATAGAGCCTTGGTCGAATAAGAGTATAAATTGGAAAAGCTAATCCTACCCCTAATATGACTAAGGAATACTACTAGATAGAGCCTTTGCCGAATAGGAGTAGAAATAGGAAAAACTCATCCTACACTTATTCTCCCACATCAATTATTTTCTCCATGACTGATTTTTGAATAGTGTTGCTTCTCCTATACCTTCAAATAAATTTTAATTTTTGATAATAATAATGATAATATGGAAAGTTGGTGCAGAATGGATCCGAGGGAGGGAAAAGTGGACCTGCAGAAGCTGAACATGACCACAATTTAAGTTCAGAGCACACGGTTAAAAATTTAGCCAAGAATCTAGCAGCTGAACCAATATCAACCACAAACGGAAGTTCTGCAGATTTGTGTTCTGATATTGACTGGATATCAAGGAAACTCACTACCCGCAGTACTATCCAATCAACATTGCTAGAAAACACACAAGACCTAGTAGTAGAAAGAGGCAAGAACCCAGAAACCGGAGATGGTGCAGAAGCAAGGGCAGAGAAAGGGCAACACTCAGATGGTAATGATAAAACTACCAAGTTATTGTTATTACCTTTTTTGACCACCTATTACTAATTACTATAACATGTATATGTTCAGCAAATGCTAGTGGCAGAAAAAGCTTTGAAGCAGAGAGTACTGAGAGATCAAACCATGTGGACTCTCACTCCTTGGGGAAATTGCATAATAACAATGGATCTGTCAGAAGTGATCAGTTTATCTTGGAAAGGAAATGTGAAGTGTTGGAGAAGAAGATAGAAATGCTTGAAGGGGAACTGAGAGAAGCTGCTGGCATTGAGATTGGTCTGTTCTCTGTGGTGGCTGAACATGGAAGCTCTACGAATAAGGTCCACGCCCCGGCTCGGCGCCTCTCTAGGCTTTATTTTCATGCGTGTAAGGAAAAATGCGTGTTAAGGAGACAAAGTGCAGCTAGAAGTGTTGTTTCTGGATTAATGTTGGTTGCAAAAGCCTGTGGAAATGATGTTCCCAGGTGATGTTCCGAGTTTTTTCGTAAGATGCACTTTTCTTTTTAGCCCAAACATCACTAACTTTTTCGCATTTCCCATTGTCCATCATTTCAACTTTCTACTTGGTGAACCGTGGATCTCTTGGAAACAGTCACTCTACTTCATAGTAGACTTAAGTTCTGCGTATGCACACCCTCCCCAAGGGCCCAGACCCTACTTTTTGTGGGATTTTACTGGGTTTGTTGTTGTTGATGTGTTGCCTGGTTCTCTTTACAATATCGAGATTAACTCTCGAGTAAAATTAAAAAACTATTACTTTTATTTGTTTATTGGCTCTCTATCACATTGTGTAAGTCTCAAACTGACCCCCCTTGCTCTCCCTATCCCAGGTTGACTTTTTGGCTGTCAAATTGTATTCTGCTGAGAGCAGCTATTTGCAGTTTCTGTAAAAAGCAGAAATTAGCATTTCCTCCTGAGTGTACTAGAGATGCTGCGATAAGGAGGGCGTCTCCACTCAAGTGGCAATCCTTGCCCAACAATAATAATGGAAATGATCTTCCCGGGACATTTGAAGACGGGGAGAACCCTTTTGCCCTTGTAAAAGCACTTGAAAAGGTTGAATCTTGGATAGTTTCTCGGACCATTGAATCTCTTTGGTGGCAGGTCCCTCTCTCTCTCTCTCTATCTCTCTCTAAAAGAGTTTTCAAGACATTAAAAGTATAAAAATCTAATCTTTTTGCATTCTTCCAGACTTTCACTCCATACATGCAGCCTGATGCTACCACAAAGTCAGGCGGCAAAAGACCCGAAAATGTTTCTTTGGAACTTTGGAAGAAGGCCTTTAGGGATGGCTATGAAAGGATCTGTCCTCTTCGCGCCGGAGGGCACGAGTGTGGATGCCTTCATCTACTCTCTAAACTGGTACTTATTTTGCTTCATAATCTTTCTTTTTTTTGGAAGAAGGCACGTGCTCAAGTGAAGGGAGAAATGGTCACAATTGAGTATTGAAAATGTTTAGGCAAATTAATTCTGTTTAGTTGTAAATGAGCAGATAATGCAGCAATGTGTGGGTAGATTGGATGTGGCTATGTTCAATGCCATCCTTCGGGAGCCGGGGGATGACATCCCAACCGATCCGGTTTCAGACCCCATCAGCCATATGGAGGTTCTTCCCATTCCCCCTGGAAAAGCAAGTTTTTCAGCTGGTGCCCAACTCAAAAATGTGGTAAGACTCAGACCATCATTTGCTTATACTGAGTTATACTTGTAGTTGGGCATCTATATTTCATTGTATGGACCGGTGTCATATTATGACACTACCCCTTGTTGTTAAAAGAACCCACTCAACATATTTTAAATAAATATGTTACATTATTACCGAAATTGTGAGAATCTGTGGATTAGATTGAAGTTAGAACATTGTTTTCTCTGTGTATGTGGGTCCCAGATCGGGAACTGGTCGAGATGGCTAGATGATCTTTTTGGTATTGACGGAGACGACGAAGACGAAGATGAGGTTAGTGAAAAGAATGCAGATGATAACAATGAAGATGAGAGAGGAAGAAAAGAGAAATGCTCAAAAAAGCCTTTCTATCTTCTTAATGCATTGAGTGACCTAATGATGCTTCCCAAGGACATGCTACTCAGCAGCACAACAAGAAAAGAGGTTTGATTCATTCACCCATTAGATTCTTTTAGGGTGTAAAGCCTTTCGTTGTCCTTAAAACTGTAGGCCCTCAAAGGGTTTTTATATTCTAAGAATAATTCTTCAGGTATGCCCCACATTTAGCGCCTCGCTGATACGAAGGGTTCTCAATGTCTTCATCCCGGACGAGTTCTGCCCGGACCCCATGCCTGACGGCGTCCTAGAATCCCTCGATTCAGACGGTCGGTTTGAAGAGGGCGTGACAAGCTTCCCGTGCACGGCACCTCCCGTTGCTTACGTGCCACCCTCGACGGCCGCACTTGACGGCATCATCGGCGACAGCAGCAGCAACAACCGTTTTCAGCTGACGAGGAGCGGATCTTCGGTGCTCAAGAAATCTTACACGAGCGACGATGAACTCGATGAGTTGGACGCGCCTCTGAATTTCTTCGTCCGCGAATTTGATGGCGGTGAGATGGCGGCGGCGCCGCCGCCCTCAGGAGGAGGAAGTGGGAATGGTGTTAGGTATCAACTCCTGAGGCATGTCTGGTTGAGGAGTGAGTGATAGTTACACTTTTACTAAGCACTAAGATTCTCGTGACATTGAAAACCAATATCATGGAATGACTTGGAGGCGCTCCGGTGCCCAGTTCGTAAAATTGAGGATTTCTACTCCTCCTAACTCCCCGGTAAACCCTCTCACCTCGCCCCGACCCGAACACACCCCTCCACTCCCTTCAATTGTACCCCACAAGTTGATTTTAACTTTAGAATCAAATTTTGACTCCAAAATCAAAATTAACTTGTAGGGTGCAATTGAAGGGGGTGAGGGGGGGTGTTCGGGTCGGGGCGAAGTGGAGGGTTTACCGGGGGGCAGGGGATTAGGAGAGGTAGGAATCGTCAATTTTACGAACGGGGCACCGGAGTGCCCCCAATGTCATGGGAACCTTGCCCCTTACTAAATTAGGATTGTATGGTATGTACATATATATAATGCAATTATAATTAGTATTATTTCAGTGGTTTTGTTTAATACTCCCTCCGTCCCTGAGTGTTTGTCCACTTTCATTTTTGCACTTTTTTAATCTATTTTATCTTGTAATTTGTATATTAAAAAATTACAAAAATTATATATTAATAATCTATATGTTAAGACGAATCAAACAAGATCACACATGACTATATTTAGGCTTACACATTGAGAGAATTTGATGAGTCAAAGTGCTTAGATGAACAGTTCCAAAAGTCAAAAGTGGACAAACACTCAGGGACGGACCAAGTATGTGCATTGGTAAACATGAAACTCTAAAGCCTTTGTATGAGACTTAGAAATAATATTTTTAATTATCGTTAGTGTTTTCATCACTCTATTATGTTTTAGCGATACAATCATTATACTCCAGAATACGGAGTATATTGCAAAGGGGAATTTTCGACTGCTTAAATATGTTGGAGAAATCGAAGATAACACGGATTTGTTTGAGAGTCGTGCAAACTTTTCAGATTGATTATTTTGGGCGTTGAATCTAAAAAAAAATTGGATATAATTCAAATTTTGACAAGAACATATATAAGTTAATTCTGAATTTTCGAACTCTAGCATCGACCAAGAGCTTTTCCAGATTCTTATAGACGCAGAAGGATTGAGATGTGGTTTTCTAAATTTGCAAACCGTTAGAAGAACGCATGTATTTTTCCAAAAAAAAATTAGAAATATTAGAATTTAAAATTCAAATGAATTTTTTAACATAGCTTGAACTCTGCACCCCGTCAAGGGGGCGTTATCCCCTTGGAAACCTGTTAAAACGAGATTTCTATCATAACAAACTCAATGAAGTGTGCACTTCACGCCACCAAATTTCTTTGATGATTATTATGATATCAGTGGTGAAATAGTTATTTTAATTACGCTAAAATATACGGAGTATAATAAAATGCTGCACGTGAATATTGATAGTTTTAAAATTAGGCGATGGTGAGATTTAATTCCCCAAACAAGTCGAAATCTGGGATTTACAAAAAAAAGGATTAATGAATGAAATGGAAGAATGATTTCTAACTTGTGAAATTTGCACTAAATAGGACTAAAACATAATGACTTTTCTAATGTAGGACTTAAACTTTTTTATTCCCTAAATAGGACTTAATAATGACTTCATGGGAGGAATAATGTCTTGTAAAGATAGACATTTATTTGAATAATGACTACATCATAATGACCAAAGATCCTACATTGGGAAATAAAAACATATAGTCCTATATTGGGAAAGTCATTATGTTTTAGTCCTATTTAGGTAAATTTCCCTTATAACTTAAGCAATGAAATATTATTAGAGAAAACCACATAGAGAGAAGAACAGTGCTGCAGTGGTAACGCCAATGGCGGCGGCCGACGACAGGTAGCCGGCGGCACCGCTAGACTGGTGGTAGTGGTGGTTTCCGTAGTGGGGAACCACCGGAATCGCACGCGCTCTATTACCATTACTCCAGCCCCTGCTTCTGCCGCCGGTAATGGGTGTCACGCTCCCGCGGCCCCAGCCGCCTCCAGCTCCTCGTAGTCCTCCACGGAAGCCGCCGCCGCCGCCTTTAGCTCCTCCGGAGGTGACGAGGAGGCAGACGGTGCAAATGACCAGCATAACCTTCACCAACAATTGATGATCATTCATTGTGAACTTTGTTTGTTAATATATGTGTGGATTTATTTATTTATTTATGTATATATATACGGAGCATGGCATAACGGATCTATGGTAGTAGTAACCCTACCAAGTTTAATTTTACACGGTTTGAAATTTTGGTTCGTACCATTTGAACGAGTCAAGATTGCGAAGCTACACGTTAGTTGTTTGGTTCTCCCGCGGTCAAACTCTTGCATGGAAATTTCCGTGTTGTTGATGGCACTTGCAATTTATAGTTATTCTGTACTTTCAAGTATATAATTTTATGTTTCTTAATTTTTGGGTAAAGTTAAAGGGAAATTGTTTTTATGCATGAATAACCCGGAGGGTATGCAATGTGTCCACTCGCACAAGGCTTCCAAATTTTTAGGGCCAAATATTATTATACGTTCATTATTTATATTTTAATAATTAAAGTCTACAAGTGTTCCACACAAAGCAAAATAGAGTTCAACACATGATTTTTGCACAAGACTAATCTTATTTTTTCACATTTCTAGGTCGATCCTGTTTTAATTGGGACGGAGGGAGTGTATAGTAAGTAGCTAGTGGGGCTTATTTGAAAAAAGGAAAAAAAAAACTCCCTTAGTTGCCTAAAAAAATTTAATCCGTAAAACTTAAACTTTTAGTCAAATTTCTAAGAAAATAACTTCAAATTATAAAAAATAATTAGTTATAATATAAATATAATAAATTTGAGAGTAGCGGGCCAGGGTATGAGCAAGGTTGTCACCCACCTCGAAACCATTTTCGTATGGGATTCCAAATTTTAATTAATGGATAGATTTTACTTTATTAAGAATTTATGATACTAGATTTCTTTTAATATGTAGTTTAAATACTGAGTGTATCAAATTTGTACAACATTTACCAATTTAAAAGTATTTTTATTAATGATCAAAGTGTGTTTCTAAAATACTAGAACATGGAACAATCACATTTTCTAAAGTCCATATGGATTGATTTTTGAGATCTGCCAAAGTCCGTATGAATCTAATAATCAATTAGACTTCGATTCCCATTCAAAATCCAATTGAATGCCTGCTTGTTCAACAAAAAATAACATAAAATTTAGGAACACAATCATCCTTTCTTTAATCATCAAGTTCAGAGCCGGATATGTGCAAATTCAAGATGAATTACATACCAATAATTGGTACAAATTGTTATCCTTAATTTAAACCCAACTCATACAAATGTCAAAAAAAACAAAAAAGAAAGAAAAAAGAGTTCATTATATTCCTAGTGGTCCATTTGTCTTTAGCCCAGTCTTTCATTTGAAAAACGTCATGTGACCCATATAACCCAATTGTTTGTATGAAAGTTCATGCCTAGCGACTCGTGGTCCTTTAGGCGTTGGCACTTCCGATCCTTTCATTCATGCGGAGGGGGAGTCATTTGCAACTTGCGGTTAAATTCAAAAATAGCCCGATTGTCTATTTCAGTGGGAGAGTTACAGAGTATCTCATATTGAAACTTGTATCGAAACTTGAAAAGAAACTAAATCGGTATATAAGATCTTAAGTTGAACTAAGTAATCAATTATATATTCAATTTTTAATGTGGTTTTGTAATTACAAAAGTGTGATTACAAAAGTTCCGCGGTCTATTATTCTTTTCAAATACTAGCACATTGGCACCACTCGGAAACTAAGAAAAAGACAATATAATACTCCCAATTATTTGTTATCAAATTTTGATTAATATCCTCAATTCATAATTTGTTTTTTATTTGTATTTGTCTTCCCTTAATCATTTTACATCACCTTGATTATTAATGATGTCCCAATATATCTATTCTTTAAAATTCTACACTTTTCTGCCCAAAAAATTTTGTTTCTTAATCTTTAAATTTTTTTTATAATTCATGTGTTCGTTGATGTCTTTATACGTCAAGAGCCTATCTTAACTTTATAAAAAGAAAAATCAAGTTTTCGAAACATTACAATCTAATAAAAATTCGATATTTCACTAAAATATCGAATTTGTTGGAAATTTGTCAATTGCAAATTTGCTATGAGATTCAACTTAGGGTCCCATTTATAACTGCAACTTATTTTCAATTAGCTTATTATATTGATCATTAGGTTAAAATCACACCAAATACTCCGTACTACTCGTTAAACTAATCAATCTACTGTATAATTAATGTTAAAACGAACCATTGAATTAAAATTCAAACAATTTGTGTTTAACTCTGTCATTTAATAATCCGATTTAAAAGGAAATTACGTTGATAATATAGGAAAGAAAAAATCAATAAAAACCACATATGAAATTGACTAAAACAATTACAAACAGTAACCCTGTTGGCAAAAAATTAATATAGAATGCAAAAATTTGTATAAATAGATTAAATGCTATTTGTAGAAATACATAGGGAAATGCTGGATTTACAAACACAATAGTCACAAACTTCACAAACTTACTATTTGTAAATTTTAATAAAAAAATTAAATAGTCTAAAAAAATTTAAAATGAAAATTTAAACATAAATAGTATGTTTGTGAAGTTTGTGATCATTCTGTTTATGAACCTAGCATTGCTCAAAAACATATGAGAGAGTTTATAAAGATATACTCCGGGTATTACATTGTAAAGTGTTTCTATGATGCACTTTGGGTGCATACCATTTTTGTGGACTTTCTTGAATAAAAAATCTTTTTTTAAAAAAGAAAAAATCCTTATTAAAGTAATAAAAAATGTTTATTATGTCCATATGTAGATCCATGGTAGACCTTAGGTTAAGATCTACCATAAGGGTCGGGGTGTAATGGTGTATGATTATCTAGAGTGGGCGTTCCAAAATAGTGGATCACTCTAAAAAAGTTACTCCGTACTTAAATTTGATACTCCGTATTATTTAAAAAAACATTTAAATTTAAAATAAGAAATTACAAATAAAAAAGGAAAATATTTAAAATGATACTCCCTCCGTCCTCAAAAGATTTATACCTTTCAAAAAAATTGTGTCCCACAATCTCTTACTCATTTCTATTAAAAAATCACTTTTACCCATTACTTTTTCAAACCCTACCTATCACATCATACTTTTTTCCTAATAATCTACACATCACAACCTATTTTTACTCATCACATTAAGGGTATTTTTGGAAAGTCAACACAAAATTATCCCTCCCTTAATTTCAACTTTAGTCAAAATGGGTAACACTTTATGGGACGAGGGAAGTATTACACTTCGTATTTTTTTTTGCGAAAAAAGAAATTATTTGAAATATTTTTCCGAAATACGGAGTATATATTTTGCTACACATGAAGTGGAAAGTTGCCACATGCCACCAATGAAGGTGGGGTACTAGGTAGGGTCCACCATCCTCTTGTTCATTCATAAGGCAGACACCCATTACGATAACTTCGCTTTCAAGGCCCAAATAACAGTCCAAATTACCCATTACACTACTTTTTCCTTCTTCTTCTTCTTCTTCTTCAATATTCATCCCCATATCTTCTTTCTTCTTCGATTCTTTAGGGACGATTATTTTAAGGCCTGTTTGGCGGAGGAACCAACATGGGCTCATGTGCTTCTTCGGCTCACAGAGACCAAGACGCGCAGATGAAGAGGCGCATCGGCTCCAAACTGAACAACCTCGTCACTCCGTCGCCCGTCGACGTCGACTGCAAGGTCATCGCCTCCGATCGTCCGCCTAAATCGCCGCCGTCGCCGCTTCTCCCGCCCGCGGCTGCTTCTGTTGACTCTGGTTTGATTCTTTGACCAATAATTCATGAAATCCATTCATTGGCTCTTTTGTTACTGTGGGTATTCTTGTCTTTTCGTTTATTTTTTTTCGATAAAAATACTCCCTGGTTTTTATTATTTGTCTAATTTTTTGAATCAGACAAATTTTAATTATTAAATCTGTACTATTACATACGAGTATTACGTAGTACTCCGTATTATATTGATTAAATTTCTTATTCTTTTGAAGGATAAATCTTTTAAAATTATTTTTGTACTCTTATATAAAATAATTTTTATTTAATTGTTTATCCAAACGATTTATCACAAAAAGTTACTTCCTCCGTCTTGCCACAGTTTCAATTTTTTGCCGAATTGTGGCACATTTTAATATCAAATTATGAAAAAAATATATTTAATTATAGAATGCTTTTTTGTGCACTCGGTGCATAACATAAAATAAAGAAATACTTATTTAGCTCATATGTAGATCATGGTGGATCCGAAGTCCATCATAGATAAATTATTCTTTTTTATAAAATGTAGCTTTGAAATATAAAATTTTATAAAATTTAATTATTTTAAATTAAATTTAATTTAAAGTAAAAGGGTGCCAAAATTTGGGTAAAAAAATCAAATTGTGTCAAACTTTGAGGTAATATGTTCAGAAATTCTGCACTTTTTCCTCAAAAGTTGTGTCCAAAAAAGGTTTTTTTTTATAATTATTTTTCCAACATACTCCAGTAATTTTTAGGTCTGGAAGTCTGGAACCAGTGAACCACATATGAACCTCATAATTTAATATGGAGTTTTAGGCTTTTTTGGACTTATTTTTAAATTTAATACGGAGTTAAAAAAAACCGTTTCTGGTTGAACATGGAAAGCCCGTTTTTTGTCCTCAAAAGTTGTGTTTGGTAATTATGGTTGGAGCATAGCTTTCGGTTGGTCAATGATTTCATATTATTTCATATACCATTGGTTCTTTAAATTATTGCTTCACCATAGTTAGTCATTAAACTTTCAAAATTTCACAAATAATTCTTCAAATTACATCACCGTTTCATGGTTGATCATTCAGTTAATTTTGCACTTACTTTCTAAATAAAAGAGGAGGTTTCGTTATCTCCCCCGTCGCCGACAACCCACCCACTCAATCCACTTTCATTTAAAACTTGAGAACTCATTTTTTTACTTCAAATTTTGGAACTCATATCATATTAACTCTCTAAATTCATAAGATGACATTGCATGAAGACTGTTACACCTAATTTCTCAAACTTTGTGTTATCCCTAAAATTAATGCAACTTTTTTCATTAATTATTGTATGATGATATTTTCTCCCTGAATTGGTCAAGAAGGTAAAAAAAAACAGTCCAACATCATGTGTATAGGAAGTAGGAACAGGCTGTTATTAGCCTGTGAACAAACTGCAGCAGGAACAAAAAGATCTGCAAATTTGTGAAAAAGTAATAAACAATAGTTATATGTTGCCTCCTTGGGTAAATTCCTTTCACCACCATTTCCATTGGGTAAAATCTGTAACTTGGCTTGGGATTCATCTTTCTTTCACAACTATTCACTTAAACTTTGTCAAAGAACCAACTCAACAAAAGCTAAGCCTACAGTTCTAGGCCCTGTATTGAGCTTGAACGAGAGGTCCTTGACATGGTATCAGAGCTTTCCAAACTTAAATGTCACATGTTTGAATTTCACCACTACTCAATTAAAAAAATTGGCATAAAAATTTGCAGTTGTAGGTGCAGGAAAGATTTTATACAAAAAAATTTGACCCACGTTTGTAATTAACGTTAGAATTGTTAGTAATTTTTTCACCCCATTGTTAGTGATCATATATTGGAAAAATACTAAAATAGGAGTAAAACATTGAAAATATACCAAAATAGGATTTTTATGTTTTTATTCCCGAAATAAGAGTAAAAATGCATTTAAATTACCAAACATGGTCATGTACATTACCAAAAAGTATAGTAATGTGCACATGTATAGTGCCTCATTACCACCAAAATATCAGAGTGCGAACTTCTATTTCAGAAATAAAAACATGAAATTCTTATTTTGATACTTTTTCTATGTTTTAGTCCTATTTAACGTGATTTCTAATCATATATTCACCCCCATTGTTTTTGGGGTTGTTATTAATTTGGGATTACAGACAGGGAAGACGAAACATTCTTTGATTCCCAGCTTTATCTGGAGTCTGATTGTGATGATGACTTCCATAGTGTTAAAGGAGGTGAGTTCAACACTCTCTTGTGAATCTCATACTACTACTACTTTTCACTCTACCTTAACAACATTTGTTGAATGGGCAACAAATGAGGTTCCAAAAATTGCAAATAAGTACCTCGAGATTTTAAAAAATGCAGATTTCACACCGTCGAGAGGGAGCACGCCCATCCATCACAGGTTCTCGGCGGGACCCATGTCACCCAAGGTCAAAAGAGCGTTCTTTACCGAGCGGATTCCCATTTCTGCCCCTGTGAGGCCGTCCTCGGAGGAGAGGAAGAAGAGGCTGGAAGAGCTTTTCAAAGAGAGTTTAGGGGGCGATAAGGAGTTTGACAATGCCATGAACGAACCAAACGCTTCAAATAAGTCTGCATTTGGAACCCCTAATAATGCTGAGAGTAGTCCTATCCAACAACCTAAACACGCTTCTTCGGGATCGGGAAAACGGGCCCGCCAATGGTGTTTTCCCGTTCCCAAGTTGCTGCTTTTGAGGTGTAGCTTTAGCGAGGCGAAGAAAACACCACCGCCGCCACCACCTCGCGAATAAATAGCTAATGCTTGTGAGGTATATATATGTGCTATTTATATGCTCGGTACTATTTTTGACACCACATTTGACATCATCTTTCTTATAGATATCGCATGCGACTGACACTATTTTGTGGCAAAAATGCTAGGAACCCACCACAGTGTTCCCACAAATGACAATCATGAATGATTCATGGATACACAACGATAATTAATCTGTGAGCACATATAATTATCGTTTTTATATGTATGAAATTGCTTGTGATTGTCATTCGTGGAGGCAACCGTGGTGGATTTCTAGCATGATCTGTTATGTGTTTGTAAATGTCTATAAGAAAGATAGTGTCAAAGGTGGTGTCAAATGCTAGGATGTACCCCAAACATGGTGGATATATATGGGCAAGAAATCCCAAACCCATAAAGAGTGTGTGGAGTTTCTTGATCAAGAGATTTGAGTTCTTGTGTATATAGTGCAATGGTGAATAGAAATAAAGAAATGAATTTTGCTTTCTGGTTTATTATCCGTGAGCGTGTATGATATACTTGGGAATTTGTCTACTTGATTGTCTTTTTTTGAAAAGATTTGTTGAATTTCAATGCCGAATATCAATATTTAGGACATCACAAGATTTTCAAATCTTTGGGTCCCCGTGCAAATTAAATTGTATGGTACATTCCAATTATTTTGCATACTATAAACTACATGGCTAGACCGCTAGCTAGATCCACATATTTCATATCCTATTTTAAATGACCAAATCCACATATTTCATATTCTATTTTAATTTTTTTTTAAATAAACTCTGAAGTGCTATCTACAAAAATGTTCTGGCCAGCAACACATTTTTTCCAACAGCTGCATGTTTCAAAACTGGGGGCCTTCATTCCAGGTGTGCAAAATGGCTCACACGATTTGTCCTGCCGTTAGATCAAACCCTTTCACTAAATAAAATACGGAGTATATATACTCTCAGTCCCTAAAATAATATGAGAGGTTTTGATTTTAAAAAAATTTAAGGAGAATATATTTTGATGTTGAATTCCAAAAATATCTTTAGATGTAATAGGTAAAAATACAATTCAATTAGTAGATTAATAGTGAATAGATGTGATGTGATTGTAAGTTAAAAATTAGTAGGGCGAAAATAACTTTTTAATAGAAATGAGAAAAAAAATTGGAAGGGATAAAAAAAGAGAAAGAGGAAAAGTTGTCTGGGATAAAGGGAGTATCATATACTCCCTCCCCCTCTATAGATTATTCTGTTAGTCCTTTTTATTTGTTACTCATAGATTTTTTAATTACTTTTTTTAACATTTAAAAAATCACAACTATTCTTGCATAAACTCAATGGCACGTCAGCGGAATGTTTTCCCCTTTCCCCTTCAATTTTTACTATTACTCCATCCGTCCCAAATTAAATTGTATGTTTATAATAATATAGTCACATTACTACTAGTTTTGTACTCGGCGTTTATTCACTTTAAAATAATATAGTCATATTACTACTAGTTTTGTACTCGGGGTATATCTTTTGATTTAGTTTTTAAATATGTAATTTTTATTTTTTAATAAAATACTCTTTATCATATAAAATGATTTAAAAATAATTTTAGTTAAATATCATAAACCAAAACAGACAATTTAAATTGGAACAGAGGGAGTATTTTTATTAATAAATATTTAATTAAAATAAGTAAATTAAAAACTTAAAAAAATAAAAATGTACTTTTTCAATTTTTAATATTATTTTTAATACTTTATTTAACTAAATAATTAAACTTAATATATAAAATATAATTCAATAATACTAACTTGCAAAAACTCAAAATAAAAAAAGTAAAAAAAAATTAAAACTAAAAAAATTAAAAAAATCAATATTAAAAATGAAAAACAATTAAAAACTAAAAATAAAAAAAGAAATGAAAGAAACAACACAAAAAAGAAGAAAAAAGGAGGAAGTAAAAGAGATGAAAAAAAAGAAACACAGAAAAATCACACGAGAAAAACGGGGAGAAGCTCCCGCACTCCCGCTCTTCCCATTCCTATAGGGGGTGAGGTGTTCCCATTCCACTCTCGCGCCACCTAGCATCACGCAAAGCCTTTCCGCATGGGACATAAAGTTTGCATAAAGCCACACACCAACATTACTACGCATGCAATTTCATATCAATACACTACTCATTTATTTATTTTGATTTGACATAAAGTTTGATTGAGCCACGCACCAACTTTACTAAGCATGCGGTTCCCTAGCAATACACTATTTATTTATTTATTTTGATTTGACATAAAGTTTGCATCGAGCCACGCACCAACATTACTAGCATGCGGTTCCATATCAATACACTATCCATTTATTTATTTTGATTTGAGATAAAGTTTGCATCGAGTCACGCACTAATTTACTATGCATGCGGTTCCCTAGCAATACACTATCCATTTATTTATTTTGATTTAATATTAAGATTGAATCGAGCCACGCACCAACATTAATACGTACGCGGTTCCATATCAATATACTACCTATTTATTTATTTTGATTTGACATAAAGTTTGCATCGAGTCACGCACCAATGGAGGGTGTTTATTATCACGTTTCCCCACAAAGCATCATTATCCTTGCCGCAACCCATTAAACCCCTCGCCAGCGCATTAGCCCAATATATTTGGGTTTAGAGAGATTGCACTATTCATGTTTTACACATTACCTTTGTATGATATAGATGGCAAGGGGCGGGTGGTGTTACCCTCTTTACTAAAATGCCACATAAGATAATTCTGGTACCAAATTTTGTTTACAATCCATACTGTGCACCCTTACTTTATTTAAATGATAGTGAAGAGTGGGCACAAAAAGAATGCTAGTTAGAATCAAGGATGGTGATAAGCGAACCCTTCCTTGTTTGGTTGCCTCAACACGAGAACCATCACGAAGACTAGTTGAAGAGTGCAAGACTTGCTCAATGTCAAATATATAAGAGAAAACACTTGTCATATGATGAGATGTCCCACTGTCAATCAACTAATTGTAAGAAGAAAAGGACTCGAGCATGGATATCAAATGTGCCATTTGGTCACCAAGATTTAATTACTTATCTGGTCAAGGAGTTAATTACCTGCATGTTCGGATGGATGGATATAGTATATTGTTGAGGGATTGTGGATGAGCCTCGCGCGCTTTGTAGTTTCGGGAGTTGACATGACAAAGCATGAACTGAGCAGTGCCACCGTGTGAGGATTTCCTGGACAAGACTTGACGACGGTGAGAGTCCTGCGCCTGATGATGAAGGGAGATGAACTAATTAAGTCTGTCAAACGAAGGGGGGGGGGGCTTTGGAGAACAACGTCGGTGATACAAACACGCTGACCTGCTCTCGTAGGGTTTACGAAGGGAATCCGAGGATCGCTTCGATACCATGTAGAAAACTTGAACCAAATGACTTGCTTCATTGATTTACAAACCGAGTATATATACAAGAGTATCTCGGTCCAAAATATATGGCCCATGAACTAACTAATACTCCTTTGTCCTAAAATGATCTTTCCAGATCGGTTTTCGAGGTTTGACTAAAATTATTTTCAATTTAATTTATTTGATTATAAGTATAAATTTAAGAAATTCAGTAAAAATTATATATGTTAAAACTTCATCAAAAGTTCTACAAAATAAGATGTGACATGACTATATTATTTTATTAAATAACTAACAAAAACAGGTAAAAAAAAGTGATTAAAATTTGACCATATTAATAATGAAGACTGAGAAGATTATTTTAGGGCGAAGCGACTAATAAATACTCCCTCCGTCCCTAAAGGTATGCCACATTTGATTTTTTCAACAGTCGCGAGAATTTTTGTTTATTTGTACGTTTTCATTGGTTATTTGACATCTCTTATTTCGAAAAAATTTTCATGTAGTTTTTAAAGATGTAAATTTTATTTTTTATTTCTATACCAATATTTAAATATAATAAATTTAAATATTTCAAAAAACTTTCCACGTCTCTTTTTTCTCTTCCTTCCCCGAGCCAACTCTTCCTCTCTTTTTCTCTTCCTTCCCCGATCTGATCGTGGATCTAATTTTGCCGCCCAACTTCAATGGTCAGATTTGTTTCTTTGCTGGATTGATAGTGCCTAACTTTAATCGGTCAGATCTAATCTTTGTCGTCCAAGTTCTCCCCAATCCGATCGCAGATCTAATCCGATCAGATTTGTTTAGCTGGCTCCAAGTTCGACGACTGGTGGCGGCAACACGGCGGTAAAACATACTCCTTCGATCAAGAGAGGCGGCGCCGGCTGAAGGTGTTCGACGACAACTACGCCTACATCTTGCGACACAATGGTGCCGGTAATTCCAGCTACACCCTTGCCTTCAACGCCTTCGCAGATCTCCCTCCCCACGAGTTCAAGCCGGCAGATCAAGGAGGGTATTTTTAGAAGTCAAAGCCATAATTATCCATCCCTTAAAAATGACCTTTAGTCAAAGTGGGAAGATCAGGACGGATGGAGTAACAAATAATCGTAATTAAATATACTCCGGGGTCCGGAGCACTGGAGTATAGGAAGCCAGGAAGGTACCCGGCAGTAAATTATACGGAGTTGAAAACTTAGTCTCCTTCTTTTTAGGTAGTTGAAAACTTACCGGTAAAAAGAAGAAAAAATATTTTAAGGTGCCAGAGTAGACCTTAATCATACGGTGTATATGAAGTAAGTAAACTGCCGTGCTCCTACGATATTATTGTCGGGTTGGAAATTCGATCTGTAAATAAACGCCTTAATCCGGACGTTATGCTTTTGTATATGTATTGCGTCACTGCACTCGATCTCCCTATCTTTCCGTCCTTAAAAATTATTCATATTCCATTTTTTTCGCATCCCATAAAACCCTTATACCTACCTCTAAACTGCCTAAAATTTACTCCCTACCATATTTTTCCTTTATTATAAGTAGAAATTGTTTTGAAAGTTTTTTTTAGCATTTAAGGTTAGATAAAAGTGTTTTATAGGATGTACAAAGAATGAAACAAGAACACCTTTTAAGGACGGTGGGAGGATATATATATATATATATATATATATATATATATATATATATATATATATATATATATATATATTGTGAAGGCATTACAAATAATAACGAAATCAATTAATTACCGAACTTATATTACCTAGCTCCCGAGTAATTAATTGGTTAAACTAAATGGCTTCCAAAAAAACAACAGCTCCGGTGATGGCAAAAATGGAAATAGAACTTGAAGGTTACCCGACGATTACCGATTCTCCATTAGAGGAGTATCGGAAGTTTCAGGAAAGCATGCCAAAGGGGGCAGGAGATTGGTAAAAAAAAATAGACATATATTTTACTCACATATATT